CCATGTGAAGTCATTTAGCTGAGTCTGCAGATCTAGTTTTTCACTTTTCCTGCATTCCCTCCATTTTTGTTGCTTCTTCTCAGAGCTCCCTCCCAGTTGTCTGTATCTATCTAGTTTTGGGAGGTCCCGATTTGAATGTGATGTTCCAGGGGCAGTTGAACCAGAGCCAAGAGAACCACCGACCTGTCCCCTACCTCGTCTATGACGTGATGCCTCCAGCCCTTTCCCTGGGCCTGTCACGATTACATTCCCTTTAATCACTCTCCACTCTCACCCTGTATTCTCAGGCCAGGATTTCTCTCCCTCTGGTTACAGCCTTGCACTGGGGGATTCACTCGTGTTTATCACAATGGATCTCGTTCTGTTTCCTGACCCTGTTTCTGGTCTCTCTGTTGCTCCTGCCTCCCATGCTGTGTAGTCGGCACCAGCGTTCTCTGTGTGAGCCTTGGAAAGCGCTGTGGCGTGGCTGTTGTGCTTGTGCAGTTGGGGGTGTTTTGCGGGGTGGGAGGGGTGCATGCATCGATCTGGGCACAGTTGAAGTTAGTGCCCACCCAGGATCCTCCTTCACTGAGCTGTACTCAGGAATAATCTTCAGGCTTAGCACTTTTTGACCATAGATTCCCCCCCCCACCCCAAAGCTCCCAATCTCTGTAAGTACGTTGGTCCCCATTTTACAGGTGGGAAACTGAGGCACAGAAGTTAAGTGACTTGCCCTACATTACACAGTGAGTCGATGGCAAAGCTAGGGATAGAACCCAGGAGTCCTGTGTTCCACTTCCTTCCCTTTTCCATTATGGCCTTATTGGTGTGCCTATTCTCTGGGGACTGGCACTTCCTAGGCACCAAGATACATTTCCCAGCTTGGTTGAACCCACTCTCTATGCAAGGTAATGACACCATGGGGAACTGACTGTCTGGCTTGAAAAGAATCCCAACCATTTCCCATCTCAGGCCCAGTCCATGAAGGGGAAGCCGCCTCTGGCCCTCCATGACATGCCTGTGATCAGGAGCTGGGCTTTTCCTTTCTGAGTTTCAGGTGGCCAGCCCAGTGGCCCATCTATCTCTTCAAGTCCCGCTCCACAGCTCAGCCTTGCTCTCCTCCAGGAGCTGTTTCTGAAGGGGTAAGGCCGTCTTCAAGAGTGAATCAGGGAACAAAGATCAGCCTGATGAACTTGACAAATGATTACATGATAATTAATGTTGGGAAACAACATAAGGATAATACGCTCTAAATCCATCTCCCTCTTGCCTCCATGCTTCTAAGGGGAGCTCCGTGTGCCACGGGGAAAGAGGCTGGCACCATGTCCAGTGTGGGCATAGGGGATTCTTTAAAGCCTTTTGCGGAAGGGTGAGTTGCTGTCTCTTTAAGGGGTCAAAGTTCAACACTTTTGGCAGTGACTGAGCCTGGGTAACCTTGGCCGGCTGGCACTAGCCAAGCACCCAGGAAATTCTGCAACTCAATTGGCTCACCCGCCTGGCACTGGCAGGGTGTTTGCTTTGTAGCTCTGGGGAAAGTTCAAATTCCCTGGTGATAGCAGAGATACCCCTCTGTGTACCTCACTCCTGTCTGCCTGATCCCCCTCTCCCTCTCCACAGCCCTTGATGGGCACTGGTGAGCAGGTGACACTCGTGCCATTGGCACAGGAGCTGCCCCGGAGTGTAACCCCGCTGCACGGGGCCCACCGGCTTCGCACTGCCCCTGACCATTTGCTCCTCCCCAGTGCACTTGCCCTTTCTCAGCCAGGGCCCAGGCTTATCACACCCTGGGCCAGGAAAGGCCCAGACAGAGCTGGAGGCAGCCATAAGCTGTTTGCTTTCTCACTGTCTTTTGTTGTTGTGTGGTGAGGGGCAGCATGGAACATGGAGAGACACCCCCCCCTTCCCTAGTGCGTTCATGGAGAATGAGAGGGGGTTCTCAACTCTATATTATAACAGGGGCCATTGTGAGAGACACTCCTGGGACTCACAAGCAGACGCCTCACTGCGCCAGGACTGGCAGCATCCCTGAGGAGGGGATCACGGGGAGCAGCCCCACCATGCAGCCAGCAGAGACTGCGCAATGCTAGCGTGCCTGCCTTCCAGCAAGGGTGCACTGCCAGGAGCTCCATGTGCTGGAGCCTCAGAAATCCCAGGGGTTTTTTGGCCTCCCTCCAGGAAGTGGTTCCAGATGCATGTGGTTCTTGCAGGATCCCGTCACATCCTCTGTCAGCAACACAGCCAATGGCCCTGGGGACGCTGTGCAGAACTGACCATGGACACCATGGGCCAGGTGTTCAGAAGGACACCTTTAGAGGACGGGGCCAAAAGAAATCTGATGAGGTTCAACAAGGACAAGTGCAGAGTCCTGCACTTAGGACGGAAGAATCCAATGCACCGCTACAGACTAGGGACCGAATGGCTAGGCAGCAGTTCTGCAGAAAAGGACCTAGGGGTGACAGTGGATGAGAAGCGTTACCTAGGGAGGTGGTGGAATCTCCTTCCTTAGATATTTTTAAGGTCAGGCTTGACAAAGCCCTGGCTGGAATGATTTAGCTGGGGATTGGCCCTGCTTTGAGCAGGGGTTGGACTAGATGACCTCCTGAGGTCCCTTCCAACCCTGATATTCTATGATTCTAAGGACACAGCATGGTGAGTGCACACTGGATGCTGATCTCTTCTGAAACTAAGCCCCAAGAGCCTAGGTCACAGGAAATAGATTTCAGGGGCGATCATGCAGGAGGAGAATTTCGTAGATTTGAATGGACAAAGGAGAGAGCTGCAGGAGCAGCCTGCCTCGGGTCTCCCATGTTCTTGGCGGGATAGACTTTGCTCCCATGACATTGCCATAGAGACACACCAGGATGGCGCCTTCTCAGGACCTGTCAGGGCACTGCATGTGGGCAGCTCTAGAAAGCTGGGGGAATGCTGGGAACAGCAGGGTGTGTTGCTCCCATTGCTCGGTATAAAGAGAGGATCCATGCCTCCTGCTTCTACATCCTGTGCATAGGAGGAGTCTCTGGAGAAACCGAGCTCCACTCCCAAGGGATGGCTGTAGAATTCCTGCTCCAGTGCCAGACAAAACATAGCCTCTCCTGCTTGCAAGGGACCCTTCCTAGCCTTGTACCCAGAATCCTGAATGATATCCAGAAGCTAAAAGAACTCCAGATCCCTGGCATCACATGCTCACTGCAGCTCGCTCCATTTAGGATGGGCACTAGCTGATTTTCCAGGGGAATTCTAAACTGAAGCCAGTGCAGTGACCCAGCCAGGAGCTAGAGAAGGCAATGGAGTGCAGCATTGAGTGCAAAGCATCAGTCAGTTGGGCAGCTGTTGCTGGGAGGGAGCTATGGGGAACTGCTGCTAAGTGATAATCCAGGAGCAACCAGGGACCCACTAAGACCCGATAGGGGTGAACTCTTCTGGCAAAGGGCAGCACAACTGCACAGTACCCGGGGCAGACATGGTGCTCTCCAGCTGTGCTGCTCCATGCATCCACCGTCGCCCCAAGCCCTACGTCATTCCAATCCTCTCCAGGCGGGGATGCTGTGAGCTTGGCCCCAGCCAGCTCTGTGTCTCCGAGGCTTGGGGAGGAGAGACACAGCAGACTTCAGGCTCCCAAAGCAGGGGCTGCAGAGCTGAGCACCAACAGGCCCCAGACTTTCCTTGCAGCCAGGGGTTCAAGTGGCCAATGAGCCGGGGGAAAGTGCGTCGGTACGGCGTATCAGTAAACAGTGGCCACCGGTACCAGCCGACGTTAAAGCCGCTCTACTGTTGTTGCCCCTTCTGCCCCCGTAGGCCGCCAACAGCGGGGACAAAAGAAGCAGCTGCCCCAGGGCCAGCGATTTAAAAGGGCCCGGGTCTCAGGCTGCTACTGCAGCTACCGCACTAGTGGCGGCCGGAACCCCGGGCCCTTTAAATCGCTGCTGGAGCCCTGGGTGGCGTGGGCCAGGGAGTTTGGACAGGCTGGCTGGGGGACACTGACCCCCAGCCCCGCCACTTCTGCAGGACGGAGCCAGCCCCCGTACCACTAAGTGTTGAGTGTTACTTTGACCCCTGCCAATGAGCAGCTCCCCTGAGCCCTCTGGAGGGAGGAGCAAGAAGCCATTGGTGAGCCGGGCCTGTGACTAGGAAGGCTGACATATTTAATGAGCCCTGGCCGCAGCTGTCCCATACCCCCCAGCCTGGGAGCCTGCGCCATTCCGGGCTCCAGCAGTCCCATATCCCCAGCCCCAGAGCCTGCCCCTCCCTGGGCCTTGGCACACTCTTGCTGTGCACAAGCAGCCTGGAAGCCCCTGACTGAAGTTACACTTGGGGTGACCGCCCTGAACTTTGCTGCCAGACATGGTCTCCCAGGGCTGTGGCTGCCCAGCTGCTCTCTGGGCTGGAAATGGATGTACTCTCCTGAGCCCGGGTGCATGGATTAGTGTAATGAGGCTGCCAGCACTACAGGCCCATTAGGGGCACGCAGCCACCACAACAAGCTGTAAAACAAACACGGCTGCCTTTGGGAGCCTGGATACGGGGAGAAAGGGTGCAGGCCAGGCCCTGGAAGCAGGGAGGGGAAAGGAGGGAGGCAGAGAGCAGGCCTAGACCCAGGGGAGGCGGAGATGAGGGGGAGCTTTTGAAAAATCCTGCAGATTTTCAAGTAATGGCCATAAAGCACCACAGATGGAGCTGCACAGACCTTAGCAGCGCTGAATGTGGCACAGCCCAGCACCGCGTTCAGCCCCAGAGCAGTACATGATCTCTGACTGCCCTGTAGTTTCCTTTGGCTATGTACCCACATTGTGCACTAGTGTACCTGGGAGCTGTGAACAGCTGCCTTGCCCCACCCCAGAAGTGGCTGCATTTCAGGGCCAGAGAAGGCGATACTATGCATCCCTTACCTAACTCCCAGGGTTTGTGAGGCACCATTACTGCTCATTTATAAAGCCCTGGGAACTCCTCCAATGGCCAATTCTACTAGGACCAGCCTTCTCCCAATCCCATCCCATCCCATCCCTCTCCTGTGTGTGTTTCAGTGGGAAGCTGGTGTCTCCAAAGTGGAAGAATTTCAAGGGTCTGAGGCTGCTTTGCCGGGATAAAATCCGCCTCAACAACGCTATCTGGAGAGCCTGGTACATCCAATGTGAGTACATGGCCCAGCTGCCCTTGGGCCGGGCCCTGAATCCTCCCCCTGCAGCCAGACCTATGGCTCCGAGAACCTGGCCCTCATCTGGGGACGCTGGGGGAATGACTCTGGGGAGTGGGAGAAGTCTCTCCCACAGTGGGGGAGGGGCAGATCTTCACCCTGAGGAGAGACTCAGAGTGGGTGGGTGACTGAGTGAAAAGGGCAAGTCCTCTCCCTGGATGAGGTGGTGGAGGGGGCAGGTCCTGTCCCCAGGTGGGGGCAAGGCCTGTCCCTGGATGGTGTGGGGAGGGGCGACTAGACCCTGACTCTAGTCTCTTGTGGGCAGATGTGGAGAGGAGGAAGAGCCCCGTGTGTGGGTTTGTGACCCCCCTGGAGGGCTCCGAGGCGGAAGAGCACCGGAAACCCGAGGTATGTACACAAGGGCTCTTCCCAGCCACATTGGGGTCGGGGGGATAGATCTGCAGCCAGTTGCCTGGGTCTGGGCTGAAGGTCTCTATTGGTCTGGCTCTGACAGGCTGGGGGCAGTGATGGGGTGGTGGGGGTTGTTTCTGCAGTTCCCAGGGTTCAATGGCTTCTCTTTTGGCTGAGGAAAACCAGCCCTGAGGCCAAGCGCCCAGGTGGGAGCCACATTGCACTCCTGCAGCTGGGGAAAGGGAAATGTGTGTGTCATGCCTCACCCAGCAGGGGGCGCTGTGGGGAGCAGGGCAGGAGCGTTGGCTGTTGTGGGAGCTCCCAGCTATGCCAGTTCCAGCCTCTCCCAGCAGAGGGTGCTGTTGGGGGGGTGCAGGGGTGCGGGCTGCGGGGGGCGCTAAGACCCAGGTGCTTGCTGAGGGTGCCTGTGACCTGTGTGCTGGCTGTGTCCTTGCCAGGCTGTTGTGCTGGAGGGGAACTACTGGAAGCGTCGGATCGAGGTGGTGATGAAGGAGTATCACAAGTGGAGGATTTACTACAAGAAGCGGGTCAGCGTCTCCTTTCCCTGCAGTGCTCATTGCTTTGGGGCTGTGAGGCCAGAGCAGGGCACTCGCGGGTGGCAGGGCCCAGACACTACAGCTCTGGGCATGCTTGACATGCCCAGATCCTGAGCCAGCCCCTGGGCTCCTGGCCTTGCTTAGGGACACTGTCTGTGAAGGCCGCTTGCTGGGAGGCTGAGGGCTGCACCTATCACTGTGTAGGGCGGATTGCAGATGTCCCCTGGTCTCTGATAGAGGGCAGGCCTCAGGTTTCTCAGCAGCCTGGCACAACTCACTCCCCCAGACCCCACATGGCCTGGACTGGCCTGCCCGCAGCGGGATCCCCAGGGCTGTGCTTTGCCGGGCGCTGATGGGCCCCATTGCCCCCATCAGCCACCCCAGGAGCAGGTGACCTGGGACAGAGTGAAGGAGGGAAAATCAGCAACCAAAGGGTTCTGCGGAAATCTACTGATGCCAGGCAGGGTGGTGATGCCACCTAGTGGTTGTTTAAGGTTCCTGGCACATGCCCTGTCTCCAGTGTCTCCCATTTTGGAGTGCAGCAGTGGCTGGCTGCATAAGCCAGGAGGAGCAGCTGCTCTCCCAGGGGCAGGGGGAAGGATCTCTCATTCCCTGCTGCTTACCTACTGGAGCCAGCGTTCCAGCAAGACAAGGGGAGGGCGCTGCCAGGTGTCTGTGATATCCCTTATATTCCCTGGGCAGCCCACTCGTGATCCTGCTGGGGTTTTGGGAGGAAGGATCAGAGTCTTTATAAAATAAATACAAATAAAAATGACACTGTCACTTGGCCAGTGCGTGGGGTCATGGTCCTGGCCAGTAATGGGAGGTTATCCATGCTGAGGGTGGCCAGAGTGTCTACTTTGGGGTGCCAGGGTCCAGATGCCACCATACAGAACTGCCCCCTCCCAGGGCACCCCACCCCTGGGCTGAAGACCACTGCAGTCTCGTCAGCCCTGCCCAAAGGGAAGAGCCATGGTGCCCTTTTCCACCTCCCTTGTTGGCTGCTTGGGGTGCACTGCCAACCTCGCCCCAGCTTGACTCCCCTATCAGGAGAAGGGGCTGACAGGTCATGTTTTCCATGCAGCTTCGAAAGTCCAGCCGGGAGGGTGAGATCTCCAGCTCAAAGCAGGTGAGTCCCCCACAGGGGTGAGGGGCGGCCTTCTGCAAGAGGAAGTGATGGGAGGAGTGGCGCTCGCTCCAGATCCCAAGCATTGCCAGCTCTCATGGTTTGATCACTTGTCTCATGATACTTGGTGTTTTCTTAAAGCCACAGCTGCTGGAGTCTGGTGATTACTCTATCATCTCAGCTTTGGTGTCTTTTAAAAAGTACGTTTCTAGCCCTTGTGGCTGTGTGAAAACGCTGGAAAGTGCCTCCAGAAGGCTCAGATCCCAGAACGCAAATACCACATGCCCCGCATGCAGTGGTCTTTTCTAAAGGGCTCCTGGCTTTTAAGCCAGTCTCATGATTTTTTGGGACCCAACTCTTTGGAGTTCGTGCAGCTGGAGATGCTGGAGCCTCATCTTCCCAGTTGGAATGTATGAAATTAACAGGAGCAATATCCTGGAAATGAAGGGTTAAATAAAGTCCTGGGCAGGTAAATATTCATTCGGTTAAAACTGGCGTGATCGGCTAAGCCCCCTACACAGCACAGGGGTGCTGGCAGGGGAAGCATTTCTGCAGCTTCAGAGCTGCCTTTGGGAATGTTTTGAAGCCTGGCCAGCATGCCCACGGGGACCCAGCTGGAGCACTGCTTCACCACCTGGGCTGAATTCAGCTCCAAGAAAGGGGACCTGAAAGGGAGAGAAGAGTCCAGTTCCAGACTTCAGCCATCCTGCCCCACGCTGCGTCCACCAAGAGCAGGGAAGAGACGCCTCTCAGCTGGCTGTACAAACCTGCCAGGTCTGGGAGCTGGAGCACTGGTCCCGCGGAGAGAGAAGTGGTAGAACTATGGCAGACCCCCATCTTGTCCCCCAAAAGAGGGGATTCAGGCCAGGGTCAGAGAGAGCTTGAGGCCTGAGTGTGTGACTGGGAGACACAGTGACATTCAACAAGTGTCTCTCTGGGCCGCCACGTCCCCATCTGTAAGTGGGGCTGTCAGGATGAAGGGAGACTTGTGTTGGTAAATGCAGATGTATAGCCCTACACACAGGCTAATTATGCTCCCCAGACTGGCTGGCTGTGAGTCAGAGGGGACTGTTCCTTGTCTGTAAATGTGTGTCTGTAAATGTGGTCGGGCGGGGTTGGACAGACTGTATGTTTGTGCGTAATCAAAGGGCTGGGGGGGTAGGGAGAGGGGTGATATTGTTCCATTTGCTGCCATGGTTGGATGAGAGCGGAGCCTGAGCTTCAAGGTCTCCTGGACTTGGCCCTGTGGTTTGAGTTTGGGCCCTTCTGTGTCCGGAGTCAGGCGAATGTCAAGTGACCCTCACTCCAGCACTGATTCCTCTGGGTTCAGAGGGCGCTGCGCCCAGCTCTGCAGGTCCAGATTGTCCTGTCCCACCCTGCAGCCCAGCTGGCTGGCCAGCCCCACACGTTGGATGGCTCCACTAAGACAAGGGAAGGGAATTCCCCCAATGCTCAAAAATTCCAGCTGGATGCATTTTGCTTTGACTATCCCAGACTCTCTCGGTTGAAACAAGGGATGTGATCTTGAATGAACCAGGAAAACTTTCTTCAAAGAGGGGTCTGGGGTACAGGAGCTATGGCAGCCCAACCTGCTGGGGAAGGCTCTAGTACAAGAATCATTTCCCATCATGACATGCAGCCACTTCTGGGCTAGGGGAGGGCAACAGTTCCCCTGCGTAGCTACGCCCCCACAGCACTCTGGGGCAGGCAGGATGGGTGTCGGATCAAACTGCAGGGGGATGGGATGGAGAGCAATGGAAGGGCTTTGCCAGAGTTAGTGTGTGACCAGGGCAGGGGGGTTAACAACCCCCTGTCCTCCGGATTAAAGACTCCCTGATGACTACAATGGCTACGAGGGCAGAGGACCTGGAACCAGCACCAGCCACCCAGCACTATAGAGATGGTGCTCTGTCAGAGCAGGAGGGGGCCTGCCAGGGGAGAGACTGCCGGTGGAGAGGGACCAGGGAAGGCCGGGGGCTGCCAGGGGAGAGGGGCCAGGGAGCTGCCAGAGGAGAGGGGCTGGGCGGGTGCCCGGGGAGAGGTGCCCAGGGAGAGGTGTCTGGATTCTGCCCAGGGAGAGGTATCTGGGGGGCTCCTTTGATGAACTCTCTTGTGCAGGATGAGGGTGTGTGGAAGCCATCGGAGAAATGGTGCAACCAGCTGTTCTCCAGCGTGGTGCCCATGCTGCTGGGGGATGAGAATGAGGAGGCTGGAGGGCGGCAGCTCTTTGACTTGGACAGCTTCCTCTCGGACATCTCAGACACGCTCTTTACCATGACGCAGCCCCTGTGCTCCCACCAGACGCTCCCAGAAGACGGTACGTCCCTCAGACTGCGTTCTCACCCATGAACCTCACTGGGGTAGTGGGGGGTGGCTGAGGGGTTCTGGCGGGGTCCTGCCCTAGTTGCATTAGCTTCTTCACGTTTTCTTAGCATCCCCCCCTCAAACGAGGAGCTCTAGTCCTGTCCTGCACTAGCCAGGCCTGGTCTCCAGAGCGATCTCCCCAGTGCGGCTCCTCCCAAAGCAGCAAGGTCAGGTTAATGAGATGCCACAGGCAGTGCCCACTCCCTTTCCTTCAATGCCCTGCCCCCACCCGGCAGCCCACGAGCCACTCAGGTGGGGCAGGGGCAGCACTTCCCATGCATGCAACGGAGCAAACAATACAGACGGAGGGTGCTAGTCCCAGGAGCAATGGCCCAGTGCTAATAATAACAGAATACACTTCCAGAGCACCTTCCTGCCAGGGGACCCCAGGGCTCCGCTCAGCCACCACAGTCATGCAGTCCCCTCTGGGGTGGAACATGGCCCTTGTGTACCACTGCACAGCAAACTAGAATGGCAGGCAGAGAATTTCATGCCCTGCTGAAAGTGGGCGCATGTAAAGCCTGGAGTGGAAGCAGGCTAACGTGCTGATTGGTAGCCTCTTTGGTAGCCCCCCCTCCCTCCAGTGGCCAGGGCCATGGGCATGTCTCAGGAGGTCAGTGGGAGAGGTGAGGCTGAGACAGGAGTGTTCTTTAGCAGCTGCTGTAAGAGCCCCAGTGGGGCAGAGGCCCAGGGAGGTTCTTCAAGCTGCCAGTGCTTTACAATGGGGGGAGCAAAGTCACTACTGGCCCTGTAGGGAGGCAGTGTGGCCTAGAAGCTGGCACACTAGGCTGGGACTCAAGACCCCTGGGTGCTACTCCCGCCTCTGCTGCTGAGTGACCATGGACAAGTCATGTCCCTTCTCATGTCTCGGTTTCCCCATCTATAAAATGGGTATAATGACACTGGCCTCCTTTTCAATGTGCTGAGACCCGTGACTGAAAGGTGCTGGATAGGGGCTGGAGTTTATTGTTAATATCTCCCCTTTCAGGACAGTTCTCCCCTGCCACGTACTCCTGCCTGGCTGAGCCCACCCTGGTCTGTGCAGGGCAGGTCCTTTCCCTCCTGCTCCAGGGACCCTGCCTTCTCAGCCGTCCCCTCCTGCCTGAGGGAAGGAGAACCTGCTACCAGAATGCAGCAGCCCCTCCTGGGCTTCTGTCTCCCTCAACCAGCAGGAAGAGGGGATCCAGCACCCAGGGCTGGGAAATCCCTCCCATCCCTTGTGCAGATGATAGTGGCTTCAGGCCATGGGGGGAAAAGCAGAGGATTCTCGGTGGGGAGGCTGCCCAGCATTAGTGCTGGAGCAGATGAGTTCTCAGCTGCCCCCCTTCTACTGGCTTGTGGCACAGATACATTCTCTGCAAGGCCATGAGACAAATGGTCTCCCAGGAGAGCCCTATAACGGGGCAGATGTAGAGAGGCAGGGCAGGAGGCTCCTTGAGGGCTAACAAGCTGGCAACAGTGAGCCAGGGAATGTGGAACACAAGTAGAGGACTACAGGGAGCAGGAATTGGGGTCCAAGGGAACGGGCAACTGATGGGCTGGTTCTGCCCTTTTGCAGCCTACACTGGGAACGCCGACATGATCCAGCCAGGCTTGATCCCATTGCAGCCAAATCTTGATGATTTTATGGAAATCTCAGGTAGGAGCCAGCCCTGGCAGGGGACCAGCTATTTGCGGAAGCTGGATTTGTGCAGCGGGGATGGGGACAAATGCCCCATCTCCCCACTGCCTCAGAGAGCTTAGCCTCAGTGGGCTGGAGCTGAGTGCTGTCCCCGGCCTGGCAACAGAGGGGGCTGACAAATGGCAGTGGGTAGAGCTGATGGGGGGGGGGGGGGGGGAAGCGGGGCCTCTGGGATTTCACACCAATGAACTGAAGGAGGGAAGCAGTGGCACTGTGGTGAAATGCCCTGATGGTACTAAGCTGGGGGGAATTGCAAACAGAGCAAGGACGGAGCATACAGCAGGTTCTGGGGAGCCGAGCTGTGCTGGGGCAGGAGGGCAGGAAGCCAGGTCCTGGGGAAACTGAATTTCTCCAAATGTAGCTCTCTTTACAGGAATGTGAAACCACAAGGGGGTTTGGCTGCAGACAGAGGAAGGAAAACTCTCCCCACAAGTTTCAGAGTAGCAGCCGTGTTAGTCTGTATTCGCAAAAAGAAAAGGAGTACTTGTGGCACCTTAGAGACTAACCAATTTATTTGAGCATGAGCTTTCGTGAGCTACAGCTACGAAATCCGATGAAGTGAGCTATAGCTCATGAAAGCTTATGCTCAAATAAATTGGTTAGTCTCTAAGGTGCCACAAGTCCTCCTGTTCTTTCTCCCCACAAGAAAGAGGAAATCTCTAGGGGGCGAGCAGCTTTCTGCTGTGCTGCCGGGGTTGGGGGGAAGGATGGGGGCAGGAGCCTGGGTGGGGTGGGGGGGAGCTTTTGGAGGGGTCCCCTCATTGCTCCTGGAACTCCCCTATCTGCCCCCGCACCCCTAGGCCATTGAAACAGCCTGCGTCTGGCTGCATGGGAGCGCAGGACCCTCAGGCTGGGGGGACCAGGCCTTAGGGAACAGGGATCTCCTGGTCACCGTGCATGGTTCAGGGCCTGGACAGAGGTGCAGCCCTGTGACAGCTGCCCCTTGCAGCTGAGAGGAAAGGAAATGGGGTCCTGATGGTGGTCCCCAGGGGATCAGGTCCTGATGGGGCCAGGCAGTGATTTGCTGCCAGGGGAGGGCAGTGCATATGGATATGGTGACTGACCCCGCAGGGGCTGTTCCTGCATCCCCTGGGCAATGCCGTCCTACAAGTGCTGCTCACAGAACCAGCCTTGTCATCCGGGGATTAGGCTTGCAGGCGGGTCATGGGCCACCTGTGCAAGGGAGGGGAAGGAAGGGGAGGGAGCGCATCCACTCGGTGCTGGACTTCTCCATTGCACTCCAGCAGCTCAGCCTTCAACTCTGCCCCAGAGGGAGGGAAAGTGAGGCCAGACTGGGCCACTGAGCTATGGGGCAATAGTAAATGGTGGACCCTGCCCCATGGTGCTCACGCCACCAGCTCTGCAGAGGAGAACAGCCCAACCTGAGAGCAGGTGCAAGGGCTTTTAAGGGGTGGGAGTCATGGGGTGCCCCAGCCGGGTGGGGGGCGGGAGTGTGAGCATCTGGGGTCCTCTCCCTCCCCTGCTGGAGGGGGGCTCGGAGGAGAGATGCTGCAGAGGAGGCTAAGAGCGCGTGGGTGGGGGAGTGAGAATATGCGGGAAAGAGTTTGCAGGCGGGAATCGGGACAGAGTCAAGCCATGAAAGTTGGGCTAAAGGAAACCCAGCTCTAGAGACTGGTCAGGGAGAGCAGAGATCCCTGCTCACAGCCCTGCAAACTGGGCTGGAGCGAGACACTGAGCAACGCTGAAGAGTGGGGTAGGAAGCCAGGGGGAGGAACACAAATGAGAGATACAGCTCAGGTCCCTCTGCACTTTTTTCAGCCATGGGGCAGCCCCACCCCAAGGCTCCAGCATGGCCCCTTGCCATTGATGGGCCCAACTTGTCTCCAAACCAACCTGTAGCTTTGGGCTTCAGCTCCGGGGGGGAAGCTCTGGAAATGCCCTAGCTATGAACTTGGAAGGTGCCCGGCCAGCACAACCTGCTGAGCTCGGTAGAGGTCCATAAGGAGCTATGTAAAGGGCTACATTTTGGCTGCACCGTATCTCACAAACCAGGGGCAGCTGGGAGTCCTGTCCTAGTGGAATGGCCTGGGCATCGCCACAGCTCTTGCGCCTGCGGCTTCCTGTGGGCTCAGGGCTGACCTTTGTGGAGGCTGATTGGCTTGGGCCTCCAGGAGCTCTGCTGCCAGTATCCACTTCCCACTTTCCTCCTTGGGAGGAAACAAGTGACCTTGCATCATTTGACTGCTGGCTGATGCAAGACCAGTTGCTGGCAGAAAGCAAGGCTGGGACGGCAGACGTGAGTGCAGCCTGCAGGTGCAGCCCTGGGGCACCCTCTGGACGAGCCAGACATGGGGGAAGTGAATGCAGATTCTGCGCTCTTACACCACTTCCTGCAGCCCCACTTGCTGGAGACACTGCGGGTGCCCCAGCTCTGGCCAGGCCCCGCTAATTCGTTTCCTACAGCATCTCCTGAGGGGAGAGGCCAGGACTGGAGCAGCTGGAAGCTCCCCACGGCCAGGGCTCCTGCAGCTGGGAACTAGGGCTGGTGGGAAATTTTCCGCTGAAATTGTTTTTTGATGGAAAATGGGATTTTCAGCAGAATGCTCCCAAAGAGTGTCTGCTTTCCATGGAAAATTCCCACGTCACTGAGAAACAGACCTCTGTTACACATGGCACCATGGTGCCTCATGGGAATTGTTGCGTGCATGCCTCACGCGCCCATTCTCCTTCATGGGCCGTGGTGTCTGACTCCATCGCTCATGCTGCACCATGGGCAGGGAACCTGAGATTCCGAGATTAGAAGGCCACAAGTGATCCCTGGGATCTGACCTGTATAACGCAGGCCAGAGACCTGCCCTGAATTAATTCCTGGTTGAACTAGAGCAGAGCTTTTAGAAAAAACAGATGTACCAATTGTGAGTGTTGGAGAATCCACCACTACCCCCGGTAAATTATTCCAAAGGTTAATTACCCTCATTGTTAAACATTTGCACTTTATGTCTAGACTGAATTTGTCTAGCTTCCACCTCCAGCCGTTTGATCTTGTTCTGCCTTTTTCTGCTAGATTGGAGAACACACTGGCAAAGTTTTATTCCCCATAGAAGTACCTAAAAACTATAATAGATAGATTGAACTCCTTGAATGTGTCACTAGAAGGCAGGTTTTCCAAACCTTTAATCATTTTCATGGCTCTTCTCTGAATCCTCTCCAAATTATCAACATCCTTCTTGAGTGGTAGATGTCAGAACTGGACACAGTATTCCACCACTGCCAAATGCAGAGGTAAAATAACCTCTCTACTTGTACTCGAGATTCCCCTGTTTGTACATCTCCGGATCACATTAGCCCTTTTGGCCACAGTGTCACACTGGGAGCTCATCTTCAGGTGATTATCCACCATGACCCCCACATCTTTTTCAGAGTCACTGCTTCTCAGAGTCCCCTGTCCTGTAAGTATGGTCTACATTCTGTAGTCCTAGATGTATGACTTTACATTTGGCCAAGTTAAATTGCATATTGTTTGCTGCATTCAGCTTACCAAGTGATCCAAATCACTGTGTATCAGTGACCTGTCCTGGTCATTTTTTACCGTCCCCTCTATCTTTGTGTTGTCTGCAAACTTCATCAGGGATTATTTTGTTTTCTTCCATGTAACTGACAAAACTGTTAAAATGTGTAGGGCCAAGAACCGGTCCCTGTGGGACCCCACTGGAAACACACCTGCTCAATGGTGATTTCCCATTTACATTTATATTTTGAGCCCTATCAATTAGCCAGTTTTTAATCCATTTAATGTGTGCCATGTTAATTTTGTATATTCTGATTTTTTAATCAAAGTGCTTTTCAGTATCAAGTCAAACACCTTACAGGAGCCTAAGTATATTACATCAACACTATTACTTTTATCGACCAAACTTGTCATCTCATCAAAAGATATCATTAGTTTGATGGGAGCTATTTTCCATAAACCTGTGCTTCCTTCCTGTCCTCTGGAACTTCCCCCAAGACTCCTAGAGTTATTGAAAATCAACATTAATGGTCCAGCGAGTTTCTTGGCCTGCTCCTTTAAAACTCTTGGATTATGTTATCCAATCCTGCTGATTTAAAAATATCTGACTTTAGTAGTTGCTGTTAAACATATTCTTGTGTTGCTATGGAAATGGAAAGTATTTCGTCTTAATCTTCATCCTCATCATCATCTCTGACATGACTACACCGGCTGTGTTTTTTCCCAAATACAGAACAGCAATATATATTAAGCACTTCTGCCTTTTCTGCATTTTCCTTGACAGCCCTACCAAGAGGGAGAAAGGGGTTCTAGCATAAGGCACCCAAACTACAACTCCCATAAGGCACCATGGCAATAGTTTGAATCAGAATATTTCACTTTTTTGGTTTAATATTTGGCTGAAAACTCAAAATTTTCCATGACCCCTCACCCCTTTCCCTATTTTCCAACTCGCTCTGCTGGGAGCTCCCCACAGCCAGCACTCCTGAACCGTGGCCTACATCAGCCATTCCTAGCCTGCGGTCTGTGGAACATGTGGCTTGGGCTCTGTGGAGGGCAGGCTGGGAAGTGGTATTTCCAGCTGCTAAAATGCATGAATGGAAGAACAAGCTCCCTTTCCTGTTCTCTGCTGCTGCCCTGCGGAGGTTATGTGATTGAGGGGCAGTGATGTGTGGGAAGGGACGACTCTACGGAACACTCTCCAAGATGTTTCCTTTCTTGTCTTTCCTGGGGGGAGCTGGGTGTGCTGGACAGGCAGAGTGATCACTCAGCCCAGCAAGGGCTCTGAGCTGAAGCAACAGTTCAGTTTGGTCCCTTCATGCTCACTCTCTCTGGGCTTGTGCTGCTGCTGCTGCTTTTGCTCGGAGACTGTCGCAAGTTGTAGCATTTCTGCTGAGTACAGTCAGAGAGGAAAATACCCTCCTGCTGGAAGGGGCTGGCTGGCTTAGGCCATATTTCTAGTGGGCACAAAAAGCCCAGTGCCACCTGG